CTATTCCGAATTTTCCAGATTAATTGCCATCCTTCGCTTTTGAGCTTCAAGCAAATTCAATAGTGAAGTTCCCGTTTTCTTTTGTCGTTGCTAGATCCTGATTTGCACCTTTTTTTTTTTCAATTAGAATCTCTTTCTCTTTCTTTTTCAATGAGGAAGTATTCTTCGCAAAGGTGAGAAGAAAAATAATACTAATTAGCAGCAAAAGGTTTTGATATGATGAAAGGTCAACAGCAGGAATTAAATTACAAGAAAGAGTTCTCTGTTGAGGGAGGTCATTCTTAGCAAGAATGATGTGTCGTTGACGTGGCATTTACCATTTGGCAAGCTTTTACCTGAAGAGGAGTCAATACCAAAGCAAAATGTCCTCAGCATTGAACTTCCTGGAACTCCCTTCACTGCTTTTCCTTTCCATTGGCGCAGGCTTAGCCAATGCGATTATCCAACACGTGCAAAAGAATATCTGTAAGTCTAACCACGCGGTTTGCTTCTTCGATTTGGCATTTTATTTACACCTGGGTGAGATAAGAAACGTTTACATCAAACCAACGTTCCCCTTTTAGCCCAAGAAAGGACACGCATAAATAGGTGGGCTCTGGACGTTGGCAAACTCGTCTGTGTATCATTTCTTTCTAGTTTCTTCTTTATTTTGATTACCTTGAAATCTCCTTTAAAGTTTCCATTGGTGTCTCTGGCTTTAGAAGCTAGTGTAGTTTTGTAAGCATTGCCGTATCCAAATGACAATCACAGCAACGCCCTGTGTCAAAGATGGCTGCCTCATGGTCAGGGCCAAGGTGGTGCTGACTAAGGTTCCAAAGAACATAATCGTTTCTCAGGGAAGTCATGGATCAGCTTTTCTGGGTGCGACTTCAGGAATTCCCAGCTCTCGCCATGTTTTCACTCTTGGGGTTCAGGAGTAAGTTTCCAACTTTCTCAACATGTTCAATGCATATCTGTTTCTCTATCATAGTTTGTCGGTAACCGAGGAATTATGGGATCAGCAAGAAATTTAATGAAGCATATTGAAATTTGAAAATCTGTGACAATATGTTGGACTTGCGGTGGTTTTTTCAACACGACAATCTCTCTGCTGTTTCTCTTGTATATTGCATGTTGTCTCATGTTTTCTGTTGCTCATGAATTTCATTTGATCTGTGCTTCGCCACTACAGGGGATACAAGCTTTTGTGTCTCCTTAGATTCAAAATATGGTGGATGATACCGCGCTATGGGGAATCTGGTAGTGAAATTCCCATGGAGACTCAAATGCTTCTTTTGGAAGTAAGAGAAGAGTCTGCTGTGGATGATGAAATTTCTTCTGATCCAGCCACCGAAAACACCTTCTATATCCTCTTCTTGCCTCTCTTGGATGGAGAATTTCGAACAAGTTTGCATGCAAATGAGCTCCAGTTTTGTGTGGAAAGTGGTTAGTTTGTGATTCTGTCAATTTTTGTTGGATCTCTATATGAGAACCAAATTTAAGTATCCTATATTTTGGTTTAGTTGTAGACTTAAGATTACTCTGCTGTATGATACTTCAGGTGATGCCAATGTCCAGACCTCACAAATATTGGAGCCAGTGTTCATAAATTCTGGGGACAATCCATTTGACCTCATCAAGAACTCCATCAAGTATGCTCAAATAAGAACAGAAGTAGTCAATATTTTCTTTAGAGCATTTTATTGTCATTTGTCATTTAATATCCGCACAAGCTGAAATTCCTTCCTGCATTCTTTGTGTTTATGTAGGATATTGGAGAAGCACAAGGGCACTTTTAGTCACATTGAAAACAAGAAGGTACTTAATCTCAAACTGTTTAACTTATGCAAGTCAATAGATAAACTTTCTTTCCATTGATAAATTTGATGTGTTTTGATTTACAGATCCCTGCACATTTGGACTGGTTTGCGTGGTGCACTTGGGATGCCTTTTACACTGAAGTCAATCCTCAGCGCATCAAAGAGGGCCTTCAAAGGTACTATAATTAACTCAAAAAATCATTTCAATAAACTACATGAAACAAATTGCTCTATAATTGTCACAAACTTCCAAAGAGCAATATGATCAGTGTTCCGTTTCTGGGCAGTTTCTCGGATGGAGGCTGTTCCCCAAAATTCCTAATCATTGATGATGGATGGCAAGATACAGTAAATGAGTTCCGCATGTCGTAACGTGCCGAGTCTGGGAACTCGACCACTAGACGTGAAATGTACTTGAAGAGTCGCCACCAATTTTTTTTAAACCTAGGTGTGATTGGTTACCTAATAAACTTGTTCTCTTTGCTGAAATCCCTAATTAATTTTAGGTCTATCAAAAGAACAATAAACTGGTTTATATATTTTATTTAGAGTTTGGGTTCGAGAGTACGGTTACGCACAGGGAAGGATTAGCACCTCTATGACGCCCGTTCCACGAACGGTACCATTTAATCATGTGTTTTCCTGGCCCATTAATTTTATTATCATGTTTTCTTAATTTGATTTATTTAATTCATCTTTTATTCTATAAATTAAAGATATTTTTTTCTCGTGTTTGACGTACACGTGATGTAATCGTGTCATGCATGACATAAAATCGAGATGATGTCAAACGAAAACCTTTTATTGAGTGTCTTTTTCGAATCTGCCCATCATGCTAGTGGGATTCGAGAGTATCCTCTCACTTAGGGAAAATGCTCGATAAACTCGCATTCGCAAGTTTTACGAGTAGATCCCGTCATCGAGGTAATCGTTTGCGAGTAAAAATAATGTTTTCATGAATGCAAATCCTAATACAAGCAAAAGCTTTTTATTAAAGATATTTCTCCGTAGCCTCTCATGGGATTTGAGAGTATCTTTTCACCTAGAAAGTTTACCGAAGAAACTCACTTTCGCAAGCTTCATCGAAAAGTCCCATCATCGGGGCTTATTGCTCATATACAAAATATTTCTATATGCCATGACATTTAATAATGCACCATGATATATGATGTACTTAATTCCAATGTTTGTTTCTCTTTTTTTTTTTGTGCACATATTTATTGTGAATAAATAAATTACATTTCTACTTTTATTTTTTTTATTTTTATTCCGTTATGTATGTTATTACGTAAATACTTATGAGATTCTCCAAGATCATGTTTTCATATTGAATTTTTTTATTTTTTATTAATTTATTAATTTTTTTTATCATTTTTATTATCTTTTATTTTATTGTTATTTTACTTTTTAATTTCATAATTATTTATACGTATCCTATTCATTTTGTATTGTTAAGATTAACAAATTTATTGACACCATTACTTTTTTATTTTTTTATTTATATATTTTGATTATTTGGTAAGTTTGTATTTTTTATTTAGTTGAAATTAGGAACAATTGGAATTCCAAGTTTGGACCCTCCCATCATACTGATGGAGTCCTAATCGAAATTCCTAACCTAGGAAAAATCACTCAAAATTGCGACTTCTCGCATTCTGCATGAATATCCATCATCGTCTCGATCCTAAATAATCATTATACTTTTACACTTATAATTCCATACAAAGTCATCATATTTTTTTTGTATCTATATATATATATATATATAAATGGGAATAGTTATTATTTTATTTCTATTACATACCCAGCTTATTTCATTTATAGTTAAATATGGATACTTTCTTTCTCTTTTATTTCCTTTTTATTTATAAAAGCCCACCTTTTTATGACTATATCTATTTTTTATTTATTATTTTAAGTTTCTCTTATCTTTTTGTTTTCTCTTTTTTTAGCCAACAGTGTTTGAAACAATTTATTATTCTCGATATCACTACCATCTTTATATTTCCTATTTATTTTGATTTCTAACCCAAGATAAAAATAAATAATTGGCATTAATCTAAAAATGCATTTTAAACAAAGTGGGCTAGACCAAGACCAACTAAAAAGTCCAAAAAAGAAAATGGGCATACCTTCGTGGGCTAAGAATGGCCCAAGGCAGCCAAAGGAGGAGTGAACAAGCCTGCCCCCGGTCTGCTTCCCAAAGCCCAGGAATTCTTACTCAAAACGCACCGTTTTGGTGCTTTGCACAAAACCCCTTTACTGCCCAAAACGACGTCGTTTAAAAAGGCCCAAATGTAACGATAGAAGCCTCCTTTGGTTTTTCCTTCTCTCATTTTTCCCCTTCATTTTCTCTCTCTAAAGCCACTCTCTCTGTCTTCTCTCTAAGACCGACTCTCCCTTCTCCTCTCTCCCGTAATGATGCAAAGAGAGAGAGGGGGGGGGGGGGGGGGGGGGCGGGGTCTCATCTTTCCCTGTTCACTCTCTCTTTTTCCTTTTTTTTTTTTTTTTTTAATTTTTAATTTAATTTAATTTTATTTTTTCAAAAAGGGTGTCTACACCGCAAAGAGGGAGAACCACTCATTGAAGGGACACAGTAAGTCCTCTTTGTAATTTGATAGACATTCCTTGTCAATGCTAATGCATGCAAGTCATTTGCATTTGCCTCGCTCTGCTAATCATTCTCCTTGTTGCTTTGTCGTTTGACAGATTTGCAACTAGATTAGTAGATATCAAAGAAAACAGTAAGTTCAAGAGTTCAGGATCAGATGCTGGGTGCAATGGTCTTCATGAGTTCATTGACACAATCAAAGGAAAATATGGATTGAAGTAAGGTTTCAAATCTGTACATCCAAATCTTTCTGGTCTTAAGAGATTTATGTTGTTTTTGCAGTATTTTATGATGAAATTTATATATTAATGCAGGTATGTATATGTCTGGCATGCTTTAGCAGGCTATTGGGGAGGTGTCCTCCCATCATCTGAAACAATGAAAAGGTACAATCCGAAGATTGTTTACCCAGTTCAGTCACCTGGTATCATAGGGAATCTGAGAGACATTATCCCAGACAGCCTGGAGAAGTATGGTGTAGGGATCATTGACCCACAGAAAATATTTGATTTCTATAACGATCTCCATAGCTATCTCTCCAGCAGTGGTGTAGATGGAGTCAAGGTTGATGTCCAGAATTTGATAGAAACCTTAGGTTCTGGATTTGGTGGACGGGTGTCGTTGACTAGACAGTATCAACAAGCCCTTGAACGATCTGTTTCAAGAAATTTCAAAGATAATAACCTAATCTGTTGCATGAGTCACAATTCAGACTCAATTTACAGGTAAACCTGCTCCTTTTCATTTTTTAAACATCAAATCAAAATATTTAGCAAGTTGGAAAATTGAAATGTAGGTACTGATAAGAAGTTGTTTAATTTCAGTTCAAAAACGAGTGCGGTTGCAAGAGCATCGGAAGATTTCATGCCACGAGAGCCAACATTTCAGACCTTACATATTGCTTCTGTTGCTTTTAACACTCTACTTCTTGGGGAGATTGTGGTGCCAGACTGGGACTGTTCCATGTAGGATGCTTTCCTTTTATATTGACAATAATTATTGAATCACATTCTTGTGAAATGCACATTAAATATTTTCATAATAGTCTTCATAGTTGCTCTACTTGCAAAACTTAAGCCTCTCCAGACACTTGAACACAGAAAGCAGAAAAGTTAAATTCATATAGACATAGAGCTCTTATCACATATTAGAATCCAATTGTAGTGCTTAATGCTTTTGCTCTTTGCATTTGAAGCTTAAAACCAGAGTTGCAGATTCTGATGTACACGCTTTTGTTTCTATTTATGGCAGAGCAAACACGATGCAGCTGAGTTCCATGGTGCTGCAAGGGCAATAGGCGGGTGTGCAGTATATGTAAGGTTAGCCACAATAACTTATGATTTTATTTTTATTTATCTCAATATTCTTGTTCTCGTATTAATAGAGAATAACTTAAACATTCTTTTTCCCATTGTTCCTTTTCTTCTGTTATTATTATAGTGACAAGCCAGAGAATCATGATTTTGAAATCCTTAGAAGGCTGGTGTTGCCTGATGGGTCTATACTTTGAGCTAGACATGCTGGCCGTCCTACTCGAGATTGTTTATTCAGAGACCCTGTCATGGATGGGAAAAGGTAAATATCTAAATTGGCTGAAGGGAACAAGAAAAGGAAACAAAAAAGTCTTTTAACCTATAACAAACTTCATTTCAATAGTTTTTCACATATATAAACTCTTTTGCAGTCTTCTCAAGATATGGAACTTGAATAAATTATCTGGAGTCATTGGTGTTTTCAACTGCCAAGGAGCAGGAAGTTGGCCAATGAAACAAGCAACCGGAGACCTGACAAGCACACCTTCATCCATTTCAGGCAGCATGAGTCCCTGTGATGTTGAGTTCAGTGAAGAGGTAGCAGGGGAAAATTGGAATGGAGATTGTGCAGTGTATGCCTTCAATTCAGGTTAACTTTTGGCTACCTCAACTTGACTGGGAAAACTGAATCAGAAATCAAAATCTCAATATTTACCATTTTTTGTCAATTGCAGGATCTCTCTCCAAATTGCCAAGGAAGGGAAATGTTAAAGTGTCATTGGCCACTCTTAAATGTGAAATATATACTGTCTCCCCAATTAGGGTTAGTAAATCAACCACTTTTCTGGTTTCTGATGAATTCTGTTTGCGTCAAATCTAATGAATAAACCATGTTAAACAGGTTTTTGGTCAGGATGTTCGTTTTGCTCCCATAGGATTGCTTGACATGTACAATTCAGGAGGAGCAGTGGAAGCTATGGATTGCACAATGAATCTGTCGGGATGCATAATAAAAATCAAAGGACGTGGCTGTGGCAGATTTGGAACCTACTCAAGCACAAAGCCAAGGTCTTGAACGGTGGATGCGAAGGAAGTGGAATTCATCTATAATGCTGAGAATGGATTATTGACAGTTGATCTGCAAGGTGATTGCAACTTGAGAGATATGGAGTTCGTGATTTGAGTTATCAGTTATCATGTAAGGTGACAAGCATTCACGGAGGAACCATGGAGGTGTTGTATGTCAACTTGAGTTTTGCATTGGAGAAGCATGCTCTGATTCTTTGAAGCAGCTAAGCAGGAGATTCTTTGTAAATAATTCATTTGTGAACATTAGGGGATGTGATACAGCTTCATTAATGCTAAGCAGTTGGTTTCTCTTCCAAAGGAAAAGTAATTGTATTTTGTTCTATTTGTATGAGAAAGTCATTAATTTTTATGTCATTGAACCAAAGATGACTACAAAGGTCACTACAAGATATATCTTAATCTTTGCATCATGAATATATATTAAAGAGAATAAATATGGTGTTCTAACTTCTAAGGTGAAAGTTTAGTTACTCTCAAAAATAAGCAGTGATAAATTTTTTTGTTAGCCTATAGTCCTGCTTCCAAACTTACTTCTGAAAATTTCATGTAATTATTTGCACATATGTATTTATATAAAAATTTTTAAGTCAAGTTTCATGAATATTCTCAATATAAAATATTATCTAAAATGATATCAAAGCTTATTAAAATGTTTCCAAATTTTGTAAGCTTATATGTGTAAGAAGGCATTTTTAATCTTCGATTATATGTTTAATTTAATCACTTTTAATAGACTTTGTACAAAGCTTACCTCTGAACTTAATTAGTGGTGGATTCAAAAAAAAATTTTAGTGTCATAATTAAAATAATAAATAATAATCAAATTTTTTTCAATCTAGAATCTGTCAGAAGAGTAATTAGATCAAATTTGATACGATTTTATTTAAAAGATTATTGAATATCATTATTAGTAGAATTATGCTATTGTTGGTCAAAATTTAAATCTTGTAAGATAATTTTTTGTATTTGAAAATATCTTTTGAAAAAAATAATATCTAAAAACCTATTAAAAATTACTACTTATTTTTTAGTAATTTAAACTAAATTATTAGAACTAAATAAAATATAATCTTACATAACAAATTATCAGGTTCAACAACTAACAATTTCACAAATTTCTATTATTGATCAAAACTAATTATATGCATCCACAAACCACATAAAGTTAAGTACAAAAATAAATAATCAAACAATATAATTACAAAATAAATAAAACAAACTCATAGTTTCAAGATATTATTTGACATGCAAAACTATTATCTATTAACTAGATTATAATTATGAACCCAAATTAACAAATTAATCAAAAAAATATTTAAAAATAATGTATTTAAAAACTTAATTTGAGTTGAATATTACTTACTATTGAAGTTTAGATGAATTGTTTTGAAAGAATGAAAAACACAATAAGAATCAAGAAAGGTAAGACTTGAATTTTTAAACAGAAAATTATAAAAAGTAAATTTGTCTTTTCGTATAATATTTAAATATTAATATATATATTATTTTGTAATAAATCTATTTTTATTTAAAATTTTTATCCTATTTTTTACAAAATTATAAAAATATTAATAAATTTATTAATATATTAACTAAATAAAATTTTAAATTAATAATATAACAAGTAAGCAACTTTCGGTAAGTCACACCACTGCCTCTAAGGTAGGTCCGCCCTTGAACTTGATCCAAGTAACTTTACCTAAGAAAACCGCACGAACCTGCAATGATTAAGACGAGGTTACAACTGGAAATCTCAAATGCAACAGCAATGATTTTTGTTTTCTTTGTTTAAAACTAAAAAATAAAAAAAAAGTGATGAAGATAAAAGTTGGCAGTGGCATCTGCAGCAGGAGTGACAAGTTTCCTTGCTGAATTTGCCGCCTCTTTGGATAGAATTTCCATGGCGCCACTTGTATCTCCATGGCCATCTGCTGTGTCCTAGAAGGACAGTAGTCACTTTTTCTCCTGAGTATTTTTTTTATTTCCAGCTCCTGGTTCCCAGATTCCACAATCTCATGCCAGCTTTGGATTTCTCCCTTAATAAATCTCAAGTTTCTAGTTTGAGACTTCTAGAGAACGTGTCGGTGCCGTTTTCCTTGTAGTCATGTTCATCTTTCGTCTCATCCTGGTTTAACTCGGATACTATATATTATATATGCGGTCCCAGTTGAACATGCAATATCTGAAACAATTTTAGCATTCATTCCAGAAAGTGAAACAACTCTAGCAAACCATGGGAAGTAACGAAGAAATCATGGTCACAGCCGAGCCAAGCATCCAAGATGGCTCCTTCATGGTGCGTGGAAGGGCTCTTTTCACTGACGTGCCTGGTAACATCATGGTTACACCGGTAAGGGATGGTTCAGTTTTCGTTGGAGCCACTGCAACCAGTTCAAGTTCTCGTCATGTTTTCACTCTCGGAGTTCTCCAGTATATGTCTACCGTTCTTCTGCTTTTCTTCTTTGCTGTTTTTAGTAATTTTCTTATAGCTGGCTGTTAAAAGAAACCCCCCGCCCCCCTCTCCCCGAAAGCATCACAACCATGACTTTACAACCGTTTTGTCTTACATTTCTTTATGAGTATAATTAATTTTACATTGTTCTTTTATAGCAAAGATATGATATTTTCTGTAAGTCTGATATTTTCATGTGTATATTGATACTGCAGGGGACACAGATTGGTGTGTGTATGTTCAGGTTCAAAATCTGGTGGATGATATCATGTTTCGGAACATCGGGCTGTGATGTTCCTGCAGAAACTCAAATGCTTCTCCTGGAAGCAAGAAAAGAGACTAACATCCAAGATACTGAGAACACCTTCTATGTTCTAATACTACCGGTGTTGGATGGACAGTTTCGTACTACTTTGCAAGGGACACCTGACAACGAACTAGAGTTTTGCATTGAAAGCGGTCAACTTCCCCCTCATTTATCTATTTTTTTGAGTTTAATGGGATGCTATACTCAGTTTTAGATGAGTTTCCTGCTTAATACTGTCGATTACCTACTGCTTCAGGAGATCCTGATGTTCAAACCACCAAGATTACGGAGCCAGTTTTTATGAATTCGGGGGACAACCCTTTAAAGCTGATGAGGGATTCTATCAAGTTTGTTTGATTTGAGCTTAAAAAACTTCATTGAATATCATATATGAAGCTTTGTACTGGTAGTTGACTTCTGATGTTTTCAATTGCTTGTAGGATATTGGAGAAGCATAAGGGTACCTTCAGGCACATTGAGAACAAGCAGGTACAATACATCCTTGTTTTCCATAAATCTTTTTGTTTGACAACTTTATTGATGAAACTTTCTGCCACTTTTCCTGGCAGCTGCCTGAACATGTAGATTGGTTTGGATGGAACACCTGGAATGCATTTTATACTAACGTTGGTCCACAAGGAATAATAAAGGGACTTGAAAGGTAATAAAACAGTTAGATACTTCTTGGGACTTTAATTTGGATTCAGTGCTTCATTCTTAATCTTATTTATTTATTGGTTTTGGCTTTCCTCTAAAGTTTCTCAAAGGGAGGTCGTCCTCCAAAATTTTTGACCATTGATGAAGGGTGGCAAAATCTTGTGCCTAGCTACGATGAGGACAGAACAAAGTAAGACATTACTTGAACAGTTTCACTATGAATATCTGTTTATCTTGTCTGCATCAATTAGCTGACCTCATTTCGTCTGTTGATTTAAGGGAATTGGCTAGATTACTTAATTTCGAGGAAAATGCAAAATTTAAGGGCTCAAGCTTGGATAAATTAGGGAATAATCTCCGAGATTTTATCAAAACTATCAAGCAGAAATATGGACTGAAGTGAGGTTTTTTTCTCAAGCTGTTGATAGTTCTTCTTATTCATGGCAGTAAGACTAAATTGAGAAGAATTAACAATAATGCAGATATGTATACATTTGGCACGCTTCAGTTGGCTACTGGAGAGGAGTGCTCCCAGAATCTGAAGTGATGAAAAAATACAACCCCAAAATTCAAGCTGTAGTTCAATCTCCTGGTAATCTGAGCCATATTATATGCCCAACCCTTGACAAGATTCAGGAAAAGGGAATTGGGCTGATTGATCCATCCAAAATTCTCAACTTTTACAAGGATTATAACAGCTACCTAGCAAGTTGTGGTGTTGATGGAGTCAAGGTGGATGTTCAGAATGTATTAGAACTCCTTGGTGCTGGTTATGGTGGTCGAGTCTCACTGACTAGACAATACCTAGGAGCCCTTGAGGACTCTGTTATGGAAAACTTCAATGCCAACAACCTAATCTGCTCCATGAGTCTGAATAGCGACTTCATCTACAGGTTTGCCAAAATGTTTATGCAAATTTTAAAATGATTTACAAAACAAAATGATATCTGGTTTTCCAATATACTTTTTGGTTACTTTCAGTGCAAAGAAGGCTGCAGCTGCTAGAGCAACTGAAGATTTCATGCCTAATGGGCTAACATTTCAGACTTTACATGTTGCTGCTGCCGCTTTTAACTCTCTTATTTTAGGGGACATTGTGGTACCAGATTGGGATATGTTTTACGTAGGTTCATACTCATATGCATAAATGTCTTTCCATCATACAACCATGAATAACAGATGGATGCATATCCATTTAAATTGCCATTTCATCCAAAGAATAGTGCATTTCAATCGGATTTCTAATGCTTTAGCACATAGAATCCAGAGTTCTGGACTAAACATAGTAATGTACTTGTTTCTTCATTTCAGAGCGACCATTTTACTGCAGAATTCCATGGTGCAGCAAGAGCTTTGAGTGGTTCTGCAGTGTATGTAAGGTGTGCCACTACTACCAAGTGCAAAGCTCTCATCTACTTATCATAATATTTTTATCTACTGAAATTAATGTTGGGATTTTCACTCCTCCAGTGACAAGCCAGGCAGTAATAATTTTGACATCATCAAGAAGCTAGTGTTGCCTGATGGCTCTATCCTTAGAGCTAGACATGCTGGCCGACCAACCCAAGACTGTTTATTCAATGACCCGGTCACAGATGGAAATAGGTTAAGTTGTTGCAGCAAAGAATCCTAGTTGCACTCTTGAAGAATATATTACCTTAATTTGGGCTTTAACTTCAATTGTTTTCTGATGGTCTTTGCTATCTTTGTTGCAGTCTATTGAAGATTCGGAATTTGAACAAGTTATCAGGGGTTATAGGTGTTTTTAACTGCCAAAGAGCAGGAGTTTGGCCGCCAGTTAGAGGTAGTATATATAAGCCAGTCCCAGGATCAGGAACACCCATCTCAGGGTCTGTATGTGCCATGGATGCTGATTCACTTGAAGAGGTTGCAGGTGAGAATTGGAGAGGAGATTGTGCAGTGTATGCATTCTTTTCAGGTAGTCCTTTTAAGACCCTCTTGGCATATTTCGAATCTCAGTATTCAATTCCACTTGTCTTTTATGGCTCTTGAGCGTAATCATTGAGAGTTTATGTACTGTAGAATCCCTTAAGACAATGTTAAGGGACACAAAATTTCAAGTAGCCTTGGAGCATTTGAAATGTGAAGTCTTTACTGTTTCTCCTATCAGGGTCAGTACTTCTCCACATCCTTTTTTCTCAGGAATAATGCCTGCGTCTAATCTGAAACAAAGTACTCAAAAGAATGAGGCATGACTCCACAGGTTTTTGGTGAGTATCTTCGCTTTGCTCCAATTGGATTGCTCGACATGTACAACTCAGGAGGAGCACTTGAAGCCATGAACTATGGAAACAACCAATCAGAATGTAAGATAAAGGTTAACATGAGAGGACGTGGACGTTTCGGAGCCTATTCCAAGACAAAACCAAAATCTTGTGCTGTGAACCAGAACAAGGAGAACTTCATATACAATTTCAAAGATGGACTTCTGACACTCATGCTTCAGGGTGACTGCAATACAAAAGAAATAGTATTTTTCTATTGAGAATTAGTGCATTGCCAATCTGCAGCCTCTAAAACCAGCACCACTTGATTTTCCGTGTCTTGAAGCAAGCATGGTTTCGATTGTCTATGAAAAATGTCTGGTGTAGTATAGATTTTACGATCTGACTACATGGATGTTTTCCTGTCATTTTGTGTAAGCTTGGTTTTCTGGTTTTTCCTTGTTTTTTTGTGTGTGTGTTAAGAAACGATCTCATTAATGTTTTATCGGCTTAGATTTTGTATCTGTGATAATCAAGGAAATAATCTGTAAGGAGACTTACAAACTCTATACTCCAGATATTCAGAAAAAAAACAAAAAGGGACTAATTGCGCCAAAACTGACACGTTAACAGAGGAACATTTACTTCTGTTAGTGCCAGAACAAATGCAAACAAAAGTCGGACCTTCCTGGATATTTGATAAGGACTGTCCATGTTAGTAAACAGCTGAGCACATAATTTGGTTCTTATCTCCAATTCGCAGTCTTCATGGATATTCTTCCAGGTGGGCGGAAGCCAAAGTTTTGGATGACTTGATTGGGCAGTTCTTGCAAAACAGACACTAAGATCAGAGACTGTCCGACTGGCATCTTTCATATCTAAGTCTATAAAAGGTAATAAGAAGGGAGAGTCTGTATTTCTAAAAACAAATGTGGTTAGTGAGAGTGAGAGAGAGAGAGGAGTATCCTTCATACACTTGACAGGAGAGAAAATGGAAGCTAGGAGGTCTGCTTGGTGATAATGTTGAATAAGTACATGAAAGATGTCCCGATAAGATTAGCTCAGTTAATTACTCGTTGGATCACATGTCTAAATACGGGATCAATCTTGGACAGATGGACCATAATTGAAGGAATCACCTCAGCCAACCTGCGACCTTGCAAACTACGGTGGAAATGGGTATAACACCATGTAGCTTGGTTCTTATTTGCATCCTTCATATATAGGTATTATCAAAAGTTAGATGGCCCCGACTGAAACATCCAAAAGCCCATAAATCATCCAAGAAGTCCACAAGTGCGGGGCCATATTGGCCCGTTAACGCTACTTCCCCATTTGCCATTTAATGGAGAGTAGGATAATTGTTCCTTTTTTTCGATAAACCCTCTCCTCCTTTCTCCAGTCTGCCCCCTTATCCTTTCCCCTCCTCTTCTTAAACCCTCTCTTTTCTCTGTATCTCCTCCTCAATTCTTCAACCAAAATGTCTACTGTAACCAAACCCATATCCCTGGCAGACTCATCTTGCCTCGTCTCTCTCTCTTCCCACTTCTCCACTTCTTCCAAAGCTCCATCTCTCCTCTCACTCCCTCCAAAATCCATCAAGCTTTTCCTCTCATCTTCCCGTTCTCCATCCCTTTCAGCACTCAGAACAAAAACCCATTTCCCGTCTCTAGTTGCCTTTGTGGCCCAGACTTCAGATTGGGCCCAGCAAGAAGAAGAAAATGACACCACCATAACCATTGATGGGCAAGAGCAACAAGTCCAGGAAGAAACTGAAAGTGAAGAAGGAGAATCAACGTGGGAAAATGAAGAAAGTGATAGGGCTGAAGCAAATTTGTCTGATTGGGATCCTGAGGAAAGTGAGGATGCAGTTTTTGAAGGACAGGGTGGTGATTCAGAAGAAGAGGACTCTATTCAACCTCCTGAGGAAGCTAAATTGTTTGTTGGGAATTTGCCTTATGATGTTGATAGTCAAAGTTTGGCTATGCTCTTTGAGAAAGCTGGAACCGTGGAAATTGCTGAGGTTAAGAGAAGTTTTCCGTTTTAAAATTGGCTTTGGGTCAAAAACTGTTGAAATTTTATTTATTTTGATGAGATTTTTTCTGGTTGCAGGTTATTTACAATAGGGAAACTGAGCAAAGTCGTGGCTTTGGGTTTGTAACTATGAGTTCCGTTGAGGAAGCTGAGAAGGCTGCTGAACTGTTTAATCGTTATGTAAGGTTTTTTTTTACTTGTTTTGGTTACATTTTTCTATTGCTGGACTAATATCTTTGATAATAAATGAGGAAATTGGAATGTACAAGTATAATATATAAGCTATTATGTATCTATCTGAGCCTTATGTGGAAAGATAATTATTTGTAGGAAGCTCTTGTATTCATTTCAGAAGCTATCCTCTATCTCAGTTATTTGTTAATTCTATATGTGGTGGGGAAGTTATCATCAATTGTTGATTCATGTTGCTTGGTTTGGTTGAATTGACAATTAAGAAATAAGTATGGTGTGGTGAATATGCTTTAAACTTTTATCTATTCAAAGGGAATGCTCTTTGGAAGTAAGCATGCCACAAGTCTAAGGGCATATTGCTTCATTTTGATCTATTTCTTTTGACTTGCATTGACTTTTATCTTCACTCTTTATGATAAACTTTCATTAGGTTGCTAGTCATTGACAATTTCAGGCTGGCTATCTGATTTCTTGAACTTTTTGTTTTTCTCCTTGCCATAATTCCTTTAATGTCAGGTTGGTTAGTTATTAGATTTGATTAAATGTATGATAGATGGTTAGAATATAACAGTTATAGAAAGGGAATGGCTGTGAGACCCTTTTGCAATTACCAGAGACAGGGCTTTCAGACTGTATCCTTAGGAAGATAAATACATAGTGAAGGTACATATTTTCACAGTTTGTTTCTTTGTAAGATATGAATATGGAGCACCCAAGCATTTGGCTCAATATTTGGTGCATGATCCCCCAACCTCAAAGACCAGGGTTCATATCTCCCCTACCAAAAAAAAGAAAATAAAGATATCAATGTGGAAGTTCTAACCTATCAAATACTCCTGTCAGCATGCGTTATATTCTACATGTTGACATCAACTAGAAAAACCACAAGTTATTCATTTGTTGTTCTTACGTCTCTGAGAGACATCTGTTGTTTGTGTACCATGATTCTCACAAGGGTGTAAAGTTTGTGTTTCTACTTGTTTGATTTGTGCCCATAAATGGATGCTTGCTAAAACCAAGTTAACTATTTCGACTTAGCCACGACTAGCCCTCTTTCCTATTGATGGTATCCTGCATCTAATGTTAAAATATCCTCGCTTTGACCATGCAAGCATGCTTTGGGTAACACTAAGAAAGAAGAGAAAAAGCAGTTGATTTTCAATTACAACTTTCATTACCTTAGGAATCTTTTAATTGTCAATAAACGGATAAGATAAATGCTAGGGCAACTTTGTTGAGCTTGTGTATTATTAATTACTTTTTCCTATGATATCCAAGGTACCTTTGTTTGTTTTTAGCTCATAATTTGACTAGAACAACTTAATCTATCTATAATGTGTGTGCTCTTTCACTTTCTTTTTTGTCCTAGGAGATTGTTTGATGAAAGTAATAGGTACTCGGCTATGTATTGATCTCAAGTATTCTCCAATTTTCTTTTACCTGTTCATCAATGTGCTTTGAAGTTGTATTTGGTGTTTGTACTTAACTTCATGGTTGCCTTCTGTGTTTTAAACAGGATCTAAATGGAAGGCTCTTGACTGTTAATAAGGCTTCTCCTAGAGGATCACGTTTCGACCAACCCCCTCGTGTGTATGAACCTGCTTTTAGAATCTATGTCGGTAACATTCCATGGGATGTGGATAATGCTCGACTGGAGCAGGTCTTCAGTGAACATGGTAAGGTACTGGAGGCTCGTGTAGTCTATGATAGGGAGACTGGCCGTTCACGTGGTTTTGGTTTCGTGACTATGTCCTCAGAGACTGAATTGAATGACGCCATTGCTGCTCTTGACGGACAGGTATTTAGAGTGTTTTCTCAACAAGTTATGCTAGAATTTGGAGGAATATAATTTTCCATATAAGAAATGGATTCTCTTGGCTATGATGGTATTGCAAAGACACAAATCTACTTTCTAGGTTTCCCAGTTTATAACCATCTTACAAGTATCTTCTATTGTTGCAGAGCCTGGATGGGAGAGCGATAAGAGTAAATGTTGCAGAGGAAAGACCAAGGCGAGGCTTTTGATCTTGAGATGATTTAGATGCATGAACTGCTGCTGTTGCCTTTTCTTCTTCTTTTTTTTTCTCCTTAATTAACTTTTTTTTTTGTTAAGATTAGATTTATAGTTTTGAGTTTTTGCACAAGAATTGTTTGAAATATTTCTACCCAGAGTTATGAAGCCATGTTTTAAAGTGCCTTGTTTTGAAGGTTTCATTATCTTTGACGTTCGTTGCTCGAAATTGTAGTATGACAAATTATGTATAACACTAGTACGCATTTTAAAGCAAGACTTCTTCTGGTCGTTAAATAATCCTAGTAGTACATTTTTGTCTATAAAGTAACCGCTAATGGTGAGTTGGGGTGTTGAAATTTTATCAATTAAAGATGCTAAGTAATCGAGAAGCCAAATTTAATGACAACTCAGGGGAGACCATAGCCAGACTAGCCGATGACCTGCGCTGAACATTCAAGTAAACTGACTGGAGGGCAAGCAGGGCAAATTATGCGGCAATCTGGGCATCTGGGATTAACAGGAACAGATATCAGAGCATTGGAGTATGTACAGAGATAATATAACAATCAGATAAAAGAGCATTGGGGTACATAGCCTCCAAGCTGCTGGAAGCCATGGGTGAATCAACCACGTCTATGCCATCGAATTTGAAACTACAGTTTCATAAAACATATACATTAAGTGCACATTCCTCTCCGACGATGATGTTAATAAAAAAAATGCATAACAGTGTTGGGGCCTTGGAAAGATGTTTTGGATCCCACACCATTTCAAAACCTGTAGCAGCACAAGAAAAGAATGAAAAAAATCATGTAACCAATTTTCATCTCTCTAGAATCAGCTACTGACTGCTTCCTGGACACGGATTACGTTAACTGGACCTTGCATTTACTTATTATTCAAGTCCAAACACAAACCATCTATACAGAGGCGCAGGTCTGGAAAACGAAATATTTAACGATGATAGTCTGTAAGACACTGGATTCAAGAACGACCAACCCTTCTATACAATGATCGACTTTCAAATAACCCAAGTAAGAGATACATTTTCAAACTCAATAACCCCTCAACTGAGCATCACGGCTGGTCAAAGGAACATAACGGACAGAAGTCTCACCACGAATGCTAATTGAACCATCCAAATTTTTGTCCACTACTTTCAAATCTTGGAATACATTTCCTACAGGAATCACCATTCTGCCACCAGGCTTCAATTGGTCAAGGAGGGGCTGAGGTATTTCAGGTGCTGCTGCCCCAACATGTATAGCATCATAGGGTGCACATTCTGGCCAGCCTTGTCGTCCATCTTATGACAAAGCACGTAGTCAAAGCATTAGTCATAAGCATTCAACAAAACAGTGACTCTCCAACAAATTTATATGACAAAAGTTTGTCCCCAAAAATAAGAGGTTTTTTAAGGAAAATTACACTTAGTGCTAAGGAAGTTGCATCAACAAAATAGAAGAAACACTTTCTATCTCAATACTGTTCGATATCAGAGTTATCTCCAAAACCCCAACCGTGAAAAGTTATAATGATATCATTATCTACAGCTATATTAGTTCTTCACAAAAAGTATGTCTCACACAGCTAAACCGCTCATTTGAAGCCCAAGAGATAAACCAACTCAACTAAGAATTTGGTTCATGGTTTCATAATCCTCCATTAAACATTAGACAACATTATATTTCAATAAAAACTGTAAACATATAGCAAGTTCAAGAGTATATTACCCCCAGCATGCACTGAAAGAGAGCCTTCTTTTAATAATGGAGCTGCAGCACTTTTTTTAATATTTTCTATGGAAGAAGCAACCAATTCAGGAATATGTTCCACACCAACAGCACGACCTTGTCGTCCAACCATTACCGCAAAGCAAGCAGTCAAGTACCCAGTTCCTACAGGAAAAAATGCATAACAAATCTAAAATGCCTTTCACAAAAGAAAAGTAATAAGTTTTCCAGTTGATGGTAGACAGCATGCAATGACCAAGATTATGCCAAAAGTAATAAGGTGATGACCCAAAAAGTTTTTGACACTTAAAGTTTCACTCCTTCCATTTTCTTTCCACAACCCCATCTCCCAACTTAACCAAAAAATAAATAAATATAAAATCCTTTCCAGCCCCTCTATTTTGCCATTAAGTCATAAACCACTTGACAAGGATAGCTGATGGTTTTACTGAAGCTCTTCCTAAACGCAGGAGGATTAGATGCAGCCATCAACTCGTATAATTTGACTCTTTCTCACTGACCGTCGACAAAGTAAAATTAACCCAAGAGAAGCACATTTGATGTTTAAGCATTCCAACAGAGTTATACATAAAAAAGAAATTGAAGAAGCGCAGAAACGACATGGAGTAGTAGCTTCGAGGAGTGCAACGAGACCTGAGCCAACATCTAAAGCGCGCATGCCAGGCTGCAAATTTTCCTCCAATAACTGAAGGCAGGTAGCATGCATATGAGGTGCAGAAATGGTGGCATTGTAACCTATTGCCATGGGACTATCAACATAAGGTGGGGTCCCATCTGGAACAAAAAATGCCCTATCAACTGTCTCCATTACTTCAGCAACCTTCTTGGATGAAATCACTCCATAATGCTGCAAATGCTCCACCATTTGTTTGTTTTTATTGATCCCATTTCCACTCCAGAAGCGCTACAAATTATCAAGATAAATGTTTAGCACAAAATCACTATTAAATTGAACAAAACAAGACAACAAAACTTCTCTCAAATTATCAATAGAAAACCCCCTAGCTAGAAAAAAACAGCAATAATGAAAAAAAACCACTGACTTCTACAATGAACAGCTGTTGTTACATTATAAGCACTAAATTTTTTTTAAAAAAAAACTACAACCACAAATGCTGCTAGTTTCAAGGCAATGTCACAAAAAAAAAAAAAACTTCTGACAGAGAAGTTGAACGAGATTTAGACATCATCCAAAGTCAGATGGTCTCCATATCAGAGGCAGCCACCGGCAGAGGTTGATTACAAATTATCAATATTGTAAAAATTCATTCCCTTTTGTCCCTAGAAAAATTAAACTTTACTAATACGTCAATCAAAAAATCAACAAATTCATTATTTCTGGAAAACCCAAAACCAATTAAGTAAAGAAACATAGAGAGAGAGAGAGAGAGAGAGAGAGAGAGAGAGAGAGAGAGAGAGAGAGAAACCCACTTCCCCATAATCACAAGAAAGAACGAAAAGAAACACCCAGAAAGCAAAAATGAAGAAACTGTTAGTAAACATAAAAGTAAAGCGAGCGAGAGAAAAGAAAAGAGTAGGGTACCTCCATCCTGAAGAAGAGAGAGTTACCCGTGAGGAGAAGACTGAAGTTAGCTAGCTTAAGATTGTTAAAAGAAGAATACAAGATGGAAGAAGGGGAGCGTCGTTGAAGACGAAGATGGTGATGGTGAGGAAGATGAAGGAGGGTTGTGCAGTTTAAGAGTTGCTTTATTGGGGGCGTACAATAGCGGCATCCATACGCTATTACCGTGGATAGATTCATCATTTTTGCATCTTTCCCCTTTTACGATTTTGTTTTTTATTTTTTGTTTATTCCATTTTTCTTTGCTTCTCGCCCGTTCTCTCGCTCTCCATTCATAGATTACAGGGCTCTCAGTACACTTGTCCAGCTCTGCTCTGTCGGTGCTGTTCGGGGGGAACCGACTCATCTTCCTACGTGTCAGATGGGTTGGGCCTGAATTCTCGTTTGAGCCTACTGAGATAATGATTTCTTCTTGAACTCTGTCTTGGCCCAAGAATAAGGAAATTTTTGCCTGTTCTAGGTGATAATGATTCCTTATTAAACTAAACTTTCTTTAATTAACAATCTTTTATTGAATTAGACATTAACTATTTTTTTATTTTTTATTAACATTGAAATATTTATTAAAGTAAACTTTCCTTAATTGATCAATTTTTTATTAAATTAAATATTAGCTAACTTTTATCTATTTATTTTCTTATTCTTAATAAACTTTAAATTTTGTTATATTAAAACCAAGAACTTGTATTGGTCATATTAACCTGTAGTACTGTGGTCTATAAGCACATCTATCATGTGGTAGTCAATTTTGATAATCGGTGACTATACCAAGTCATAATGGTGGAAAACTAAGTATTAAGTCATATATAATTAGTTAATTATTGTCATTTGAAAAAAAAAAAGTTACAACAATTGTAATAATTAATTGATAAATCATTTTATTAAATCAAAACATCCTGGTTAAAGTAAAATATTGACCAAAGTTAAAAAAAAATCTATTTCTTTATTAAGGTTGAATTCCTTATTAAAGTAAAACACTTGTTAATTGTTTTCTAACACTTTCCTTTCTAATGTTCAATTCTTTATTAATGATTTAAATAATGATGTCTTTAATTTTCTTTGTAAAAATTTTAAAAATTAACCCATCATCAAAAATTATTTATTAATATAATTATATAATTATCAGTAAATTAAACCTTTAAAAATCATTGAAAGAGAAGAATATAGCTACAATAATTTTTTTTGGATATATTTATACCATCAAAAAAAAATTCATGGCACCTTAGTCTAATTAAATATCTATATAAATTCATTAAAATTGTTGCTTATCATGTTGAAGACAATGAGAGAGTTTTTCCCCTTGATCCTTTTCTTTGCAAGTATCATAACACATGAATCTATAAAGTTACACATAATTCAAATTCTTTTTGTTTTTTTCAATTTTAAGTACATATAATTAAATTACTATTTTTACTAATAATTTAAGATACACTATATTATGTATCCAATATTTATATACATCATAATCTATCATGACACAAATTATTTCTATTATACCCAAAAAAAGTGTTTTTGTATATAATTTTTATTCGAGTCTTTCCTACATAGAAGCTATATCTATTTTCCTTTTTTTAAAAAAAAATATATATAGATGCTATATCTAGCACCTGCTTTGGTTACAATTTTTTGTAATGTTGATCAATGTGCTTTAAAAGGTGATCCAAATTATAACAGAAAATTAGTATAAAATATTTGAAGAACCATAAGTCACTACCAAGTCAATCGAACTATGTTTTCATTATCATTCCATTTGATTTTATCAATACTTTACACAAATGTGTATTTGTTGGTTTATTAGATTACATGTAGATAAGATTTATACCTATAAATTATAAATATTTTTTGTTTTAATCTTCCAAATTCAGTTGTGGGCTTGAGTTTTTTTTGTTATATTTCGGGATATGGATCCTTTGAAGGTGGGCTTTGGGTTTTGGAAGATACTTGATTTTTCAGTTTCAATTAAACTATCATTGCTGCTGCTTTCAAGAAGGCAAAATATGAGGATATTCTATGAAGTTACTTTGTCTATCTTCGTTATCTTATCACTTGTGTTTATCTTTCCATTCTTTTACTTTGTTTTTGTTTTCTTGGATTATAACAATTTTTTTTTTCTTTTAGTGCATATACAAACTCATTTGTCTTATGGGTAGATTTTGGTTTGTCTTTATTTAGATACAAACTTTGAAGTGCATAAAATAATTTAACAATTTTGGATGGTTTTAATTTTGAAGATTGATATGCTGTAAAAACAACTTTTGTTAGGGCTGTGTTTCTATTTGATTTTATTTTTGTAGTTTTATATCAAAATTATCATTATTGTAATTTGTTCATAATAGTTTTGAGCTGATTATATGGTAGTTTTTATTATTAATTATCCATCATTTTCTTTTGCTCACAATTTTGAGTTGATGATGTGGTAATTTTTGTGTTGAGCATGCTACCTTGGTTGACACAACCACTGGTATTTGTTTTTTCCAGGTGACTTCCAGCGATAAAAATCCATGCACAAAGTTTGTAAAACTGAATATAAAATTAATAAACTTTTTAAACTTATTTGACTTACATTTGGTCTTATAAATCATGTTGTACCTCTCTTTTTTTCATGTAATTCATTTTAATACGCCAAAGTCTATTTGAAAATTAAACAAGCTCTATAGAATCATTGGATTTCGAAAGTAAGCATATTTTTTTTGAAAAAAAATTAATATATATATATATATATACATATTATGATTGAGTATTGTTGTAAATTAATTCATACAATCAAGACTAATTGATTTGTTATTTTTTTTTAAGTGTTCAACCACACTTATAAATGTGTAACAGGTCACGATGATTTCATACAAAATAAATCTAAAATTATTAGTGCATGTCAATAATTGATTGACTTTTACTTTAAAGTTGACATTATTATTAAACACTAATCTTTTTTAAATTTTTTATAAGAAATGTAGACTTTGCACTAAAAAGATTCATTTTCATAGTCACAATTTGATATGCATATCTGGTCTGAAGTAAATAGAGAGATGGAAATTACACGCACTCACATATATGTATTTGGTACTTGATGCTTGCTATCACTGCACTTTTAATGCACTACGCATCAATGTAGCAACATTTGAGTCCGCATGTGGCCTTGGTATCTCAAATGCTATCAATCCCCAAGTTTAGTTGAAAGCGCAAGTGGAAAATCTAACACAAGATGCCGGTAAGATACGTGAAGAAATGAAGGAGAATAATGCCAATATCATGGCAAATATGAAGGAATTAATGACCCAAAAAATGAAGAAATTTATGACATATATAAAAGCAATGATCGTAAATAATGTGATTTTAAACAAAGATATGCAGATAATTCAAGTTCAAATTCTGAAGGGTAAGCTGGAGACACTTTATAATATTATGCACCTATTTCTGTATGTGGACTTAAATATTTTTTTAATTTGCATATAATAGTATATTTAACTTTTATTTATATTTGTCTGGCATTTTTAAATATTTTATATTTATGATGATTAATTTTTCATCAAGTTGATTTTGAATTTCAAATTTTAATGAGTATTTTTGTTATGAATTTTGGATATGAATTGTGAGTTGAAATGAAAAAATAGATTATTTATAATGATTTTAATTAATTTTATTGATAAATTTTATCTAAAAAATTTTGTAAGTAATGTGGTTGTTGTTGACATACTTTCTTTAGTAATTACTAACGAAATTCCTTAAGTGATGATCCTATTACTGGAGAAAAATTTATAATGATTTTTTTCAAAGAAAAATTTTATCAAAAAAATCAAAATTATATCAATGAAATTTTTGAATTTTCCGACCACTAGTATTACCAACTACATTTTCAACGATAGATTTTCCAATAAAATTTTCTATGAGAAGAAATCAACTTCGCCAAACTTTTGAATTTTCTCAATAAAGAATTAATTTCATCTAAAAAAGCCAAATTTTTTTGTAGCGTTAGTACAGTATGTAGGAACTTTTAAATCCTTTAACATTGTTTTTATTTTAAATTAACAATATTTTTTAAAAAAAAAAAACCATATCAGAAATAGAACACTAAAAGGTTTTTAGAAGTTTTCAAAGTCAAATTAAGAAGCACTATGCTTTTGTTCTTCCCAATTTTTTTTAAAAATAATTCTTCGTAATTTTAAAAAGGACTCTGCTATATGAATTATGATTAAACCAATAGATTTACAAACATATCATGCATCGCATCAATTATAAGGCACGTCCTAAGTTTTGAATGTGAGTTTGTCGTTGACATCTAAAGAGTCCATTCCTCATGCTGTTTAATTTACTCACTTCTAAAAAAAGTAATTACTATTCTTATTTAGGAATCTATCACAAAATCGTTATTATAGTTTTGAGAAAATACATTATAAGAAAAATATCATATTCAATTGAATTGAATTGAGAAAAAATTAAGTGTCTTAAATAATGTAGACATTTCAAACAATTAATTTATATTTTTGAGATTATGAAATAAAGTATTTAATGAATATATTGTTACGGAAGTATATTTTTACTTCTATAGATTTCTTTGTTCGAGTGATAATCACATGGACCAATGCTAATATGATAATAATGTGTTTTCTTATTCATAAATATGAATAGAGATTATTAATAGAAATTAAATATTAAAATACGTGAAAATGAGTCTAATAAATTCGTAATATGAAATAACATAAAATCACGTTTACAAGATTTTGTTTTTGGTACATTAATTACATTAACAATATGTATTAGATTTAATTTTAATAACATTACTTCCAACTCTGTGATTAAAGAGGGAAAGAATAAAGAGATACAAATTACGCTAATACTACCCTTTTTTGTTTGGTTATTACAAGTAAAATAATGTTCTATCATTTACAATTAATTAATTATGGTTGACTATTTAATTAAAGTTCAAAGGAAACATCATTTTTTTCTTAGGTGCCTCATATCTTTTAGGATGTGCTTGCCAATAATGCTGCCTAATTAGTGGTTAAAAATCTAAACCTAGAAATATAATGTTTCAATAATTGATTGATATTGTATCTTAATAGATGATTAAATCTTAACTATTCAAATTTTGGATTAAGTAAAAAATCAAGTAATTATTATTTTTTTAATTATGAAATTTACATATACAAGTAAAAATCACAACCAAATATCCCTCAACATGTATGACTAAATTATTACATTTGATATAAAAAGTTAAAATGAAGTAGACTAAATAATTAACAAGCTAAGGTCTTCTTCTTGCATTTAGATCGCA